GAAGCACGTGGTGCATGTGAAGGGTGTGTCGTGCTGGGCACCCTCCTGCATCGGCCCTTACAGCCAGGTACATGTGGGGCCAACCTCCCTCTCCCCTCTTTCCCCTCTCTCTCTCCCCGCTTCTCCCCCTCTTTCCCCAAATGTGAAGGGCGTGTCCTGCTGGGCGCCCTCCTGCATCGGCCCCTACAGCCAGGTATCCACTTCGACAAATTTCTCCCCACTTCCCCATCTTCCCCCCATCTTCCCCCTGCCCCCTTCCCCTTTCCCTACTTTCCCCTTTCCCCGTTCGCCCTTTCCCACCTCTTCCTCCTTCCCCATCACCCCCTGTTTCCCTCTGTGGGCAAATGGCGGAAGCTGAGGAGCACGAGGCACAACGGGGTGGCTGATGGCGCCTGTGATGCTGGATCCGCCTGTGATGCTGGATCCGCCTGTGATGCTGGATCCGCCTGTAAGGGAGTGCTGTGGATGGCGGGTCAGCTGGGTCTGGCTGGATCCGCCTGTGATGGCGCTGGCGGGGGGAGGGGCGAGGAGACACGCAGACAGGGCGCTGAGGAGCTGCCGTCAAGTATCTTCTTTTTCGAGAATTCTCAAAAAGAGTTTCCAAGAATTCTCAAAAAGAGTTTTCGAGAATTCTCAAAAAGAGTTTTCGAGAATTCTCAAAAACTCCCTGCAACGTATAGGGCGCTGAGGAGCTGCCAGCAAGTATCTTTTTCCTCCCCATTGCCCCCTTCCCCTTCCCCCCAGTCTCCCCTCCTCCCCTTCCTCTCCTTTCCCCCAGTGCACGAGCCACAAGGGAGTGCTGTGGATGGCGGGTCAGCTGGGTCTAGACCCGCCAGTTATGGAGCTGGTGGTGGCAGGGGGGGCGAGGAGACAGGCAGAGGAGACAGGCAGACAGAGCGCTGAGAAAATGCAACCATGTATGGTTCTTTGCTTCCCCTTCCCCCTCTTCTCCCTCCCCCTCCCCGTCCCTTTTCCGTCCCCCTTCCTGCCCTCCCCCAGTGCACGAGCCCCAACGGGGTGCTGTGGATGGCGGGTCAGCTGGGTCTAGACCCGCCCGTTATGGAGCTAGTGGGGGGGGGGGGAAGGGATTTTGGCGAGGAGACAAGCAGGCAGACAGGGCGCTGAGGAGCTGCGAGCTCATAGAATTTCTGCTCACCCTTCCCCATCTCCCCTCCTTCCCCCCCGTCCCCCAGAGCACGAGTTTCAATGGGGTACTGGGGATGGCGGGTCAATTGGGTCTGGACCCGCCAGTCATGGAGTTGGTGGAGGGAGGGGCGAGGAGACAGGCAGAGAGGGCGCTGAGAAGCTGTAACCATGTAGAATATTCTTCTCACCCTTCCCCTCTTCCCGCTCCGCTCCATCGCCCCTCTCGCCTTGTTCTCCCTCCCCCAGAGCACGAGCCACAATGGAGTGCTGTGGATGGCGGGGCAGCTGGGTCTAGACCCGCCCGTTATGGAGTTGGTCGGGGGAGGGGCGAGGCAGCAGGCAGAGAGGGCGCTGAGAAGCTGCGAGGCTGTTGCTGCAGTGGTGAAGGGGAGAGGGGGGGCTGTTGGGTGGGGGAAGGGCGGGGGCGAGAGTGAGGAGGAGGGGAGTTGGGGGGAAGGGAGTGGAGGGGGAGCGAGTGGCGGGAGAGGAAGTGGGGGAGAGGGGTGGAGGAAATGGGTTCGGAAGGGGTGTTTGAGTGTTGGGAGGGACTGTATCGCGATGACAGTGTATTTGGCAAGGGATGTGGGTGTTGGGGAGAGAGAGGAGGTGGCACGGGCAGTTGAGGAGTTTTTTGCAGCTTCCCGGAGGAAGAGGAGGGAGATTTGGGCAGCAGTAGGAAGTGGGACGGGGACAAGTGGGGAGGGGGGCGGAGAAGAGGGAAACGGGGAGAATGGAGGTGGAGGAGGGAAAGGGGGTTGTGAAGGAAGAGAAGAGGGTAAAGGTGAGGGGGTGTGGGGTGTGGGGCGATGGTGGGTGGTGGGGCATGGAGGGAAAGAGGACAGGGAGGAGAAGGGTGGGGAAGGAGAGGGGAGAGAGGAGGAGGAGGAGGAGGAGGAGGAGGAGGAGGAGGAGGAGGAGGAGGAGGAGGAGGAGGAGGAGGAGGAGGAGGAGGAGGAGGAGGAGGAGGAGGAGATGGAGGGGGAGGAGAGCGAAGAAGAGCAGGAGGAGTCAGAGGGAGTGATAGCAGCCGATCCGCTGCTGCAGTTTGTGGTGGTACCGGGACTGCCTAAGGGGTAAGTGTGTGCCCTTGGGGCTTCAGGCGCCTCATTGTATTGGAACTGCCAAGGGGTAAGTAAGTGTGGGCAAAGGCTTGAGGCAGTTCCACACTTCAACTCATAGTAGCAGGGGAGGGAGAGGGAAGAGAGGGAGCAGTACTGTGAGGGAGCAGTACTGTGAGGGAGCAGTACTGTGAGGCGCCTTATATGTCACCGATTCCGCATTCGCCTGCACTCTCCCTTCTTCTTCCGCCACCCATTTCGTTCTCTCCAACCCCATCCACTTCTGATTCTTGCCCACTTCCGTCCCTCTCCCATTCTTCCCTCGTCTACTTTACCCCAACGCGTTTTCCTGTTGTCGCCTTCCTCTTTCCACCCGTCACTTCACTGTCCCCTTGTTCTCCTCCCCTGCTCTTTTCTCATTCTCCAATTCCCTTCCCCGTCCCATTCTTTCACCACTCCCCCTTCTTCTCAACCACTCTCCTCCGTCTCTTTACCCGTTTCCCTCTCTGCCCAACTCCCCCTCCTTTCCCATGTCCATGTCCCTCATTCCCCTTCCCTCATCCCCCATCCCCCTTCCCCCATCCCCTTCCCCCGTCCCCCTTCCCTCATCCCCCTTCCCCCGTCCCCTTCCCTCAGGGCTGCTGTTGAAATTGCTCCTCTCCTTGCCGCCCCGTCTCTCTCCTCCTCCACCTCCTCTGCCACCTCAGCTGCCCCGTGGCCGAGTTCCCTCACCCCCCTGCACCTCCTTTCCACGTCAGCATCTTGCCACGTGTCAAACACAGCCGGCCACACGTCAGCTCTAGGGAATCAGCTGGCAGAGATGAGCTTGCGCGAAGCAAAGGAAGGGCGCGAGTCAGCAGAGGAAGACAAAAAGACAGGGGCAAATGAGGTTGACAGAGTTGTTGGTGATGCGGCAGACACAGACAGGCAGAGAGGGGCAGAGGTCACAGAGAGTGTGGCAGAGGAGGCAGCCGGGAGGAGAGAGGGAGACAAGGGGACGATGCAGAGGAGAGTGGCAGAGGGGGGAGTGGCAGAGGGGGGAGTGGCAGTGGGGGGAGTGGCAGCGGGGGAAGGGGCGGAGGGGGTGAGCATTGCCGGGCGGGGCATGGCAGCAGCAGGGGCGTTCTGTCGCGTGCACCTGTGGGTGGAACAGGCTAGGGGGGCGCAGAGGGGAGGGTGTGATACCAACCTCTCTGTTGCTCCCTGTGCGGGGGGGACAGGGAGCCATGGTGACAGAGCAGGGAGTGAAGCTGGAGGGGAAGGGGAGGGCATGGAGTCATGTGCTGATGGCAGCTTAGCGGATAGGGTTGCTGGTGAATGTGTCCGAGTGCTATCAGATGCCCTCCACGTGGCACGACTTGATTGGCCCGATGTTGCGGTGAGGTTTCTATGTTATGTGTCCCTGATGCATGCATGCACCTTGGTGGCCTTACCTACCTGCCATACCCATGCATCTCTCACCACGGATTGTCTGCCATGGTGGCCTTTGATCCGACTCACAATCTGCCTTGCTGCATTCTCCCTGGTGACATGCACCCAAAACTCAACTTGCCATGTGTGTCTGTCGGTGCCATGTTTGCCCTGCCTGCCCTCTGCTAGGACCCAGATCTCCAGTCTCCTCTCCAACAAGTGACTGCCCTTGCCCTCGTGCGTTTGATCAACTCCCCGCTCTTTTCCCGGTGAACTGCATCCTTCCTTGAAAACAAAAGCACACACTATTCTATGTTCCCCCCCTCCCCGTCCCCCTCCCTACCCCCCCCCCCCCCCCTCTCCTCGACCCTTCCCCTTGAACCCTACAGATGTTCCGTGTGTATGTGTCGGCAGGAGGGCCAATCCCCATTCCTGCCCTGTCACTCGCCCTCAAGACTCATCTTTCCAAGTCCTCGCACAACCGAGCGCAGTCCCTACCCTCCCATGAATCACCTGCTTCAAGCCAACAGCATGGCCCTTCTGCTACTGCTACTGCTGCTGCTGCTGCTGCTGCTGCTGCTGCTGTGCCTTGCCCAATAGTGGTGCCAGTGGCAGCAGTGGGGCCCACAGCTGCTGCTGATGCTCTCCTGGCAGTGGAAATGACAGCTTTTGGGGCATGAAGTTACGGTACCGGTAGGCGATTGTCATTGACACCATCTGGCCAGAGTGATGCTGTCTAGCTGGAGTGACACTGTGGTCTGCAGAAGTGCCGTGAAAGGAGTGCACTGTACTGCTGCTACGGTAACTTGTCTCTGGATTCTCTTATACTCTGCTAACTAAACGAGAGAAAGTAAGCAATGTGAACACCCAACACTGATAATGAAAGGATTTCACTATACATTGAATGCAGGTGCTGTACCATCGTGTTTTGACAGGCATCCACATGCACTCTTTAGTGAAATCCAAGTACACTGGTCTGCATGTCTCCATCTATCAAGCAGGCACATGCACCTGAAGCCCCCATTGGGACACTAAGCCTTCCAAACTATCATACCCCTGCCTCACGGAACCTTAGCATGTGAGGATGTATGTATCAAGCACGGAAGGTGGGGAAAGGTGGAGGAAGAATAGGAAGACGAGTGAGGGGGAGAGGGAAGGAGGGAGAGAGAGTAGGGTAAGGGAGGGTGGAATGAGGGGAGGAGAGAGAGAGGAGAGGGGAGAAGGCGGGGGGTGCGGGCTCATAAAACGGGGAGGGAAAGAGCGAAGATGAGCTGGAGGGCGGTGAAGGAAGCGAGGAGGAGAGAGCGAACAGAGCAAACTCGATCATCACTCGCTTATTCCACATTTTCAAGCCGAATACAACCCTATTGAACAGCCATCAATCTAAATATCCACGTTTCTGGTGACAGATACGCTACATCTGAGACGCCCTACGTCCCAAAATCCTAAGATCTCCCTAACCCCCGATCCCACAGCCGTCATCTTTGCATGCCCTGGAATTTCCGCACGACCAGTCCGCTGACGTCAAGATACCGCTGCGCGCAGTTACTTAGGCAGGAAGATTCCGATCCGCTAAACTTGGTTCCCGGCGCAGCTGTAACGCACTTGTCCCAGCACACCTCCGTGAGCTTCGCCACCAGCTCGTTCAGCATCGCCTTCTGCTTCTCCTGCTCCAGAAACTGCTGCAGCTCGAAGCTCGTTCGCTTCTGATCCGCGTCCATAATAAAAAAGTGGCGAAAGATTCTAGATCGAACCGCAAAAAAGAACCGAAGGAATCAGGTGGCGTGGATGTACACGAACCGGTCGTGGAATCCAGACTCGAGAATGAGTTTTTTACGTGTTTGTCTGGGCTTTTGAAAGAGCACATACGGTACTGTCTCGTAATGGAGCTGTCTTGCAAGTCACACTTCAAGATGCGGCTCATTACAGGGACTGCTCGCTTTTCGAACGGTTTGGTGTTAAGTTATGACAGTGCAAGTGTGCATTGTATAATATGCAATAATCCCAAACTGTATTAGGATACTTCATAACTTTGAAGTTTACTCAAAAGAAGCATCACCGAATGGCTTAGTAGCACTTATTCCCTGACATACCTCCTACGAATAGCTACACCATTGCATGTGCGGACCAAGGTTCTCCATAGATATACAATCTCCAGTTCCCAACTTCCTTATCCCCTTTACCAAAGGCACAACATCACCAGCACAACAATAAATCCTGAGAACGCTGAATTGGTTCCTGAAGATGCACCCTTTGTTTTAGCCACGGAACCTGTGTTTGAACCTGTATGACGAATGTTGAGCAATGGGAATACGATTGACATAATGACAGCAGGACGTTACCTGAAGGCTCTTGTGGTTCGTTGAGGGATCCAGGTACACCAATAGTCTTGTTGGTAGGTGATGGAGATGGTGCTGAAGCTGGGCTAATAGAGCTTGCTGGTGCTGGACTTGGCGCTGAAGCTGGGCTAGTAGAGCTTGCTGGTGCTGGACTAGGTGCCGAAGATGGTCCGTGCGTTGTTGAATTTGCTTTAGCAGAAGGTGCGGGAGCAGGTGCGGAAGAAGGCGCTACCATTGGAGCAGGTGCTGGTGCTGGGGACGAAGGCTTTGCCGAAGGCGATGGAGCGGATGCATCCGGTCCTTGGACAGGTGGCGCAGCCACCGGAGGCGGTGGATATACAGCGGTTAAGTTAATGGATGCCTGTGTATTTCAAGTTAAAATCTGGATAAAAGACTTCAAACAAGCAACTCTTACATTTGCAAGTGGAGGCACAGCGTCGCACAAGAAGAACACGGATTTGTAGACGCTCTTGAAGTGCGCTTGCGCGAGTCTCATAGTGACGACATAGTAACTGCAACAGATTGTCATGAGTCAAGAGCATGCAAAATGCGTTAAAATTTTATAACAGAAACTTACCAGTCGCTGATCTGAGAATCGTTTTCCGTCAGCATTATGGCAGCCTCGAGAATACTTTGACCACATACAGAAGTTGATGCTTGAGTCGAAGGGTTGGAGCACTTCGCGTTATTGCATGAAGCTGACAATGATCGGTAGCTAACAACCGAACCTACATCTTCGTAGCTTGTTAAAGGACAGGTGCTCTCGGTGATGTTCTTCTCTGCAAGAGGGAACAGCCAATAACCGCTACAGAGGCCAAAGACGTCCACCGTTACCCCTTTCTTCTGTAGAACCGTGCGGAAGGTGTTACGACATGCATTATTGTATGATGGACTCCCGACAATTTTCACAACGTCGGCAGATCCGTTATTGTAGCTTGCAGAGAGAATGGTAGTTTCCATCTTCCGAAGCGACTGACAGCAAGATTCAGGGTTCTTAACCGAGCCTTTACAAGGAGTTACATCGCTCCTCATGACGGTTTTGAAGTTCGCGGGACAGACTGTTCGCTGACCAGCAACAGCTGCAAAAGAATAGCAATGTCAGAGACCTTGCGTCCATCGCTCTCGTCTGACAAAAAGCTACTATCAATCCTTACCTCCAAGCCATAGAAGCTGGAAAAGAAGGAAAATGGTAAAGTGAGTCATGGCTGGACCTTCGGTGGAAATGCAAGAATGCCAGTTTAGGGACGAAATGGCTGCATTTGAATGGAGCTGGAGCACTGTCTACACTGGACTGACGGTTGTCCAAAAATATTTATGAACTACATTGCTGGCACGGTTACCAGGTGTTACAAAAATATCGGGAACAAATTACCATCAGATGACTGAAGTTCATTCCGCACTCCATGTTGACATTCATGCTAAAGGCTGAGGCATATCGCCAAAGTTCGTTCGTACCCTGTCGGAATCGCAGTAACTTCCTTGGGTCTTTCGTGAATCGTTTCTGCACCTCGCAAATTTGTGCCTCAGACCAAAGACATCTACGCTAAAACCGAAAACTGATTGTAGCTTGAACAGGCAATTAGCCTAACTGAAAGGCAGACAACCTTGTATGCACTAGCCGCCTCCATATGCTGTCGTCCTGCAAAGAGGTTCACCTCCAGAGTGACGAAAGCGATTTTTCGAAAATTGACTTGACAATTATCTCGCGCTGTCTAGCCTTTTTAGCGTGTGTAACTCTGATTCTGGATTGCCTAATAGGTCGTAGTCAGCTGTTGTTCGAACGCAGGTCGTTTCCGCAAGTTACAAGTCCTACACCGCGGTTCCAGCGCCTCCTTAATGATGCTGGATCGCAGCGCGTTGTAGTGTCGTGAATTACAAATTCCTGTTTCGTCTATAAGGAGGTCTTTCGTCAGCACACATGGCGGATAAGCACTTCGAGCCTGTTCCGCGCGATGCGAAAGTGGTCGCAAGCATTTTAAAGTCGATGGGTGTGGAAGATTACGAGCCACGTGTCGTCCACCAGGCACGTGTGACTGTTCTGTCAGATTCAGGAAAGTCGATCTCCGATGCGAACGTTTTAGCAAGTCGCTCTCTTAGTTGTCGGACATGCCTACAAGAACGTACTATCAGAAGAATAAGAGTTTATCTGTTCAACTAGCAGCAGGGTCCGGCTTGTGTGCATGTGAAGAATGATGTTTGCTGGATTATTGAAAATGTTATTCCGGCCTCTTTCTCACCACCCTTCATTTTCGCGTTCCGGTTTCCCTTTCCACGTATCTTCCCTCCCCTTCCTCGTACCCCATTTCACATTCCTCTTCTGGAATTCGCGTACCACTGCATGACGGAGTTCACCCAGCATGCAGCTTCACCCTCTTCTTTGAAATCCCTTGTTCTCACCCTGTTTTCTTCCCTCTCACCTGTGGCGGAATGCAGCTCCTGGAGTTCGCCTATCGCTACATGACGGACGTGCTGGGGGAGACCCGCGTGTACGTGTGTTTCCACTCCGTTTCCCCTACCCCATCCTATCCTCTTCCCTCCCACCCACACCAGCTCTTGGAGTTCGCCTACCGCTACATGACGGACGTGCTGGGCGAGGCACGCGTTTATGCCGAGCATGCGGGGCACGCGACCCTGGAGGTGGACGATGTGCGGCTGGCCGTGCAGGCCAAGGTCTCTACCTCCTTCTCCCAGCCGCCACCCAGAGAGGTAAGAAGGAGCATGCAGGGTAGAGGGGGAGAGGGGGTTAAATTCCAGAGTGCGGGGCACGCGGCCCTGGAGGTGGAGGATATGCGCCTGGCCGTACAGGCCAAGGTCTCTACTTCCTTCTCCCAGCCGCCGCCCAGAGAGGTAGGAACAAAGGGCAGAGCAGCACGCACGTGAGAGATGCAAGGAGCGAGAGACGCGGACACAGCAGTGAGTGGGAACGGCTACATGGCCCCAAGGTTTGGGGGAGGAAAAGGGCCAAGGTTGTCTCTGGGGCAAGGCCCAAGGCCTGCATGTAAGGAGAGAATTGGGGTTGGGCGGCTGAGTCAAATCAAAACACCCTCTGAAGTGGACAATGTGCGCCTGGCCGTGCAGGCCAACGTCTCCTCCTCATTCTCACAGCAGCCCCTTAGAGAGGTAGAAAGCATCTGTCTTGCTGTGCTCGTCGCCTTTCACCCATGTGATATTTCACCCCTGCCACTACGTGGTCATGGAGCTGGCATATGCATGCAATGTCATGCCAATGCATCTGAGTGAGTCGCCTTGAACTGCAAGTATCTTCACCATGTTCCCTCTTCTCTTCCATCCATACTTCTCCCCCCTCAGGTGCTCAAGGAACTGGCCCATTCACGCCATGCTAAAGCGTCTTGCCCTTAACCTGCTCTCACTCACTTTCTTCCTCGCCTTACCCATCACGTTACGTCCCTATCAGATGCTCATGGAGCTCGCTCGAGCACGCAACGCCGTGCCCATCCCGCCCATAGCCGGTTCTGGGCTCTTTGCGCTGCCACCCGAGGCTGAGTGCCTGCTGCAGCCCAACGTGCAGATTGCTGTTCCCCTGCCCGGCCCTGCCGCTCGTGGTATGTAGTGGGTGTGGCGCCCTGTCTTTTTCAGGTGGTGAGTGGTGGTAACTGGTAGGTGGTGGTAGGGAGTGGTTGTCTATCTCGCCAGCTGGTCGTTGCGCTGCCCCCTGAGGCTGAGTGCCTGCTGCAGCCCAACGTGCAGATTGCTGTTCCCCTGCCCGGCCCTGCTGCTCGTGGTAAGTGCCATACCTTGTCACCCTCATGTTAGTTGGCGTGACCTGCTGCCCATAGCACATGTCATCACCTGTCACCCTCGCCGTAGGTGGCAGGTGGTAGCTGATGGGTGTCAAACGTTCAAGCTACTGTTTGTGCGCACCCATGAAGCCAAGCAGCATGCAGATCGCTCTCCCTCTGCCCCGCGCTGCTGTGCATGGTACGATTCCATGCCCCGTTTGCGCTTGTGTCAGGTGGAGGTGATAGGTGGTAGGCTTTCTAGTCATTCAATCAAAGTCTTTTGCCTAGTATATGTAGCACGTGCACTCACCAACTGTTGGGCTCAGGTCGTGAACACGTGCGCTGAACCTTATTCCTTGTTGCCTGTTATCTTTTCCCTATTGATACTCCAGGATCGCACAAGAGGCAGCGGGAGGGAGATACAGGAGGGAAGGCAGGGGGAAGGGGAGGAGGGGGGAAGGGAGGGGACGCTGCAGCAAGAGTAAAGAAGGAGCAAGGGGGAGCGGAGCTACAAGATGGGAAAGCTGGTGTAGGGGGGGCTAAGGTTTCGTTCTCCCTAGATGCTAGAAAAATATGATTTATTACTGGTTATCACACATGTTTATAAGTCGCTGAAACTATAATTTACAATTTCACGTACACAATACCATTGAAATACGATGTAACTAACTAGCACGTACTTGTAGCGAAAGATGAGGATTAAGGAGAAACTGCAATCATGATCTGATCGACAAAGAATTGGGGCTCTCATATCAATATACAAATGGGAATGTTACAACTGCTGATGTTTTTGAATACATGTAATGTTTAAGCATCTACACAAAAATATCACAAATGTTATTTTTTTTGTGAATAAGGCATGTTCTCCGCACCGTAGAGGTGCACCTGTAACCGGAGCACCCCGAACTACACCCTCGTGACTTGCGGGTCGGCCAGCGACAGGCTCGGCTGGGCATTCTGAAGTCTCGCTTGACTCGAGAGTTGTGTTGCGACTCCATGCGATCCGACACGACGAATGCGGGGCAGAGTCCTCATCAGTTGGAGTCGTGAAGCCCTACAAGTCAGGCTGTGCGACAGCTGTAATTTTTTGCTTCAACCATTCTATTATCTGACACAACCGCTCTGCACCAGACGTCGAATTCTTGGGAGTTTCCCCTAGCTTGCAAATCCATCAGCCGCCAAGGCAGAACACCACCGCAGACATCGGAATCTGTCCGAGCGCGCGGAATTCGCGGACCTCATTTCCAGTCGTTCAAATTAGTCATTCTTCATGGAAGAACGCCTTACGCTTTTCGCCGCGAGACGGTACAGCAGATTACAAAGACTGCTCGACTGTTATGTCTGTGAAGTAGGATCGAGCCCTCCAAGGCATGGCGACAGTCTTAAGCGTTTCAGAAGGAAAAAACGAGCAGGAGACGGCGGTTCCTAGAACCATTTCAGCAGCTGACCGGGGATTCAGCGAGCGAGTAAAGGTCGCATGTCGCCTGCGACCGCCATCGCGAGCAGGACCGCTCGCCTGGGCTGTAGCTGCCAATGTACGTTTGTTAGTCGGTCTGGCGTTTGAAACGACTCAAAAGTCTCGTCTCCGGAGGTTCTGTTCGTTGTTACCGCTCCTGTTGCTCCTGCTTTAGTCTCTGTTTCTTCATAGAGCGCGTCGCGCGCTAAAAGTTTCCTTCCTAGCCAACGTCTTCCCTACTGCTCGTATACCTTGTTCTTCCCTCGTCAGACCGTCGAAATCGCGACACTTGACAACATTCTGACCTTATTTGTCACGGCAAAGGGTTTTTTTTCCTGGCTTAAGTTCTTCCTCATTACTTTACCTTTCCCCTTTCGTTTCCTATTTCGTTTCCGTCATCAGACTGTCGTCGCAGCACGGAATCCCAACGCGTTAACGCCGTGTCCTTCGCCGCAGCCCACTCCCCGCTCCACCACCTCCGACTCCTCCTCCACCTCCGCGCCTCACTCGTCGCATCCCCCACGCGTTTCGCACACACTTCAGCCGACTGTTCCCCTTCCTGCTAAAGCGCTGACGTTCGAGTTCAACCACGTGTTCGGCTATGATTCGTCCAATTTCGAGGTGCGCTCTATCCCCGCAATCACTTGCTCCTTTTGACTTACCTGTTATACCGCTTGCAGTTATCAATCCACTATGACGAAATAGCCCACCTTTACTATGGATACGATGCTCGTATCCTTTTCTGGCTACCCATCTGCTCAGCACGGTCATCTCATCCCCCCTGAGTCTGCCATCTACCTCCTGCCTGGCAGGTGTACACCGAGTTTTGCAAGGGAGCGGTGGAGAGGGCTGTGGCGGGGTGCAGAGCGGTGGTGCTGGTGTACGGGCAGACAGGCACAGGCAAGACGCACACCATCAGCGGAAGCAACGTGGAAGCGGGGGTCTTTCACCATGCCATGGCGGATGTTTTTCGGGCAGCACCGAATGCTGACGTGTCTCGTTACAATGCCAGCTGTTCGACTGCTGACGTCAGTGCAGCTGAGCGTGAGGTTGTGGGAGCATTGGATCTGTCCACGTTGGCAGCAGCAGACACGTCAGCATCAGCTGGGAATGCCACGTCATCATTCCCGGGCGAGGAGGGTTCTTCAACAGCAAATCAATCACCACCATTGATGTGCTTCCTATCGGTGGTGGAGATTTACAACGAGAGAGCTGTTGACTTGCTGCAGGGAGTAAAACCCAGCTCAGTGCAATCGAAGGAGAATGGGAACAGTCGCAGTGACAGCTCTGACAACAGCCTCTCACGCACAGCAGGGAGGAAGCTTATAACGGAGCAGCAGCTACACTCAGTAGAAGAGGCGGCGGTGGCGTTTGAGCTGGCAGGGCACAGGCGCAAGGTGCGGGGCACAAGCAGGAACAAGCAGAGCAGCCGCTCCCACATGCTCTATGTCATTCGGATTAGAAGAACGCTGCCGGTGAGTGGTGCGGAAACGAGAGCGATGGTTATTGAAGGAAATGAAGGTCACTACAACGAAGTGCACAATGATGAAGGGCTGTATAGCGAAGGGATGCTGTACTTGGTGGACCTAGCAGGCAGCGAGAGCTGCAAGGGAGAAGACGCAGCAACAGCCACAGCAGCAGGAGGAGCAGGAGCAGGTGGAGCAGGAACAGGAGGGAGGGAGCATGAGCAGGAGGGCCCGTGGTGGGGGGGAGAGAGTCCTGTAGTGCCGCTCATCACAGGCCTTCCCACAGGGCCGCTTGTGCCACCCCTGGCCCACCGCCAGAAGCAATACCAGCAGACACGGGGACAGGCTCAGACACAGCAGCAACAGCAGCAGCAGCATAAGGAGCAGCAAGGGAAGAATACGCGGAGGCAGCAGCAGCAGGTGGGGGGTTCGAGGCGGGTGGGGCAGAGGGAGGCGAGGAGGAGGGAGACGGAGAGCATCAACAAGAGCCTGCTCGCGCTCACCTCCGTCCTCACGCACCTCAGCCAGGCTCGGCCGGGCCTCCCGCCGTACCGCCGGTCTCTGCTGACGAGGCTGCTGCAACCGTGCCTGGGAGGCAGGTCCGGTAGTGGCAGCGGGGGAAGCAGCGGTTACTGTGCTGTGCTGTTCTGCATTGATCCTCAGGACGTCCACGTCAGCAAGACCACTCTCAGGTGAGTATTCAGGTGCCCCACTTTCAGGTGGGTATTCAGGTGCTCCGCTCTCATCTCAGGTAAGTATTTAGGTGTCCCAGTCTCTGGTGAGGTAGCCCCTCTTCAACCACTAGTGGCTGCTAATGCTACCAGTGCTACGCGATTGTACCAGGTGTGGCTAGTTCATGCATTCATTTCACCATGACTTGCACAAATATTGCTCTTCCAATAATTCACCATCCCAACTCAACCCACCCACTATTGCCTCTACCTTCCTTTCCATCTCACTATTATTACCCCTCTCTTGGTGTCTCCCAGGTATTCTGCAATGACGCGGCAAATCCGCATGGACTATCACCCTTCGATACTGTCACTCTCCGCGCCCAAGCATGCCCCTCCAGCCGTCCACAAGCCACCCAGGCGCCGGCCAGCAAAGGCCCCTGCTGCTGACGCACGCTCTCACAGGCCCACACCGGCACAAGGGGAGAAACAGAAGAAGGGCTTGCGGACAGGTGCGAACCGGTTGGGTGAAGTGGAAAGGAGGAGAGTAGACCCAAAAGAGGGTGCAGATGGGAAAGGGAAGGAAGGGGAGGTGGACGAGGAGGAGGATGAGCAGGGGGAGAAGTTGGTAGTTAAAGAGGAGGTGAGGGTAGTGGTTGAGGAGAGCGAGGAGAAGGGGTTGGAGGAGAGGAGCAAAGAAGGTAAGGAAGTGGAGGGGAAGAGTTATTTGGTGCAACAGGAGGTGCAGCAGGGCACGGCTTCGTCCCTGCTGCAGCCTCAGGAGGGCAACACAGAGCAGCAGCGCCAACAGCAACCAGAGCCCCAGCAGCCGCAGCCTCGGCAACCGCAGCAACCGCAGCATCAGCAACTGCAGGCCTCCCAGCAACGCGGTATTCTGGCAAAGACACAGCAGCAGTGTGTGCAGGGCAGTCAGTGGCACGTGCATCAGCTAAGAAATGTACATAGCAGGCATATGGATAGCAGGGAGCAGCAGGTGTGGGCGTTGCAGCAGCGGGTGCAGCAGCTGCAGCAGCAGAACCAGCAGCTCCAGCGGCAGCGCCTTCAGTTGCTGCTGCTGTGGCGCAGAGGAGGAGGGGGCATGGGAGTAAGAGGAGGAGGATTGTGGGGGGAGGAGGGAGGAGGTGCGGCTGAGATGCTGCTGACAGCAGGAGGTGCCGTAGAAACACTGCTGGCAGCAGGCATGGACGTTTCTTCTGAGTCCGGCAGCAGCTGTGATGGGGCTCCAGGCGGGGGGAGTGCTTCTGCAGTGGAGGTGACGCAATGGAGAGGAGAGGGATGTGAGAGAGGAGAGGGGGAGGGCGACGGGTCCAATGGGAAAGGTGAAGAGAGGAGGAGGAGGAGGAAGGGTTGGGGTTGTGTTGGTAGCCAGGACCCTCCTGCTGCAGGAAACGTGCTTCAAAGGAATGGAAGAATGAATGAAGCTGTTGGGGTGGTGTGTGAGGAAGAGTCAGCAGGGGAAGCAGTGCTTGAGTGGTACAATGGCTACGGTGACTATAGCGATAAGGAGAACGCTTATAACGAGTTTGCTCTGACAGCACAGGCACATCAGGAGCAGATGGGGCTGGGGCTAAGTGCTGCTGCCACTGGAGCTGCCGCTGCTGCTGCTGCTGCTGCTTTTTACCCATCTTCCCTTGGTGCCTCCAGCAGCAACGGCAGCATTGGTGACAGCGGCTCTCTTTCTCCTGACAACAGCAGTTGTTCTCCCGACAGTGGCAGCGGCAATGTGTCTCCCAATCCCTCCTCACCTAATCCCTCCTCGCCCAACCCTTCCTCGCCCAAATGCTGCTCACCAAATAGCTGCTCGCCCAATACCTCGTGTTCCGACCCACTCACACCCATTGCCCCCATGGCCACACCCACACATACGCCCACCACCATGTCTACCTTCTCATTCTCATCCACATGCTCCGTCTCTAGCTGTGTAGCGTCTACGCCTCTATCAACATCAACGTCACGATCCACATTCTCGATTCCTATCTCTCCGCCCATGTTTGGCCAGCCTCCTCGTGCGCAATCGTCAGCAATGTGTCATCAAACCTTGCACACGTGTACACCTCCAACCATCCTCCCACGCTTGCTCTCCCCTTATCTGCCATGCATTGTATCGAAACGACGAGCTGCTACCCCCGCTGCTGCTGCTGCTGCTGCTGCTACCGCTTCTGCCGAGAGCAATTTCGCTGCTGAGGAGTTTGGGTGTGACTCAAGCCATTCGGTCTGCCACCAGGTGAATCCATGGAAGTGTGCAGCTCTGGTTTGCACTGCCATGCAGTGCATCGCACTGGACGTGCAAAGCAGAGGGGACGGAGATGAGGAGAGAGAGGCGGAGGAAGGCCAAGGAGCATTTGGTGAAGCGGGAATCTGCTTGAAGCAAGTGAAGAAAGGGGAGAAGTGGAAGAAAATGGACCTGGGAAGGCATCAAGTTCTGGAAGGAGAGGAAATTGTGAAAGGGAATGTTGGAGGCAGGAAGAAGTTGAAGGAGAGGGCTGTTGTGCTGCAGCGCTGGTTGGCAATGGCATGTGTGTGCTTTAGCAGCCAGGATGGTGGCGCGGTTTGGTAGAAACTGAACTGGCTGGGCAATATTCTGTATTTAAAAGTATCATGAGGCTGGACTGTTTGTGCACATTTGTTCGACCAAGTGCAGCTCTTTCTATGTGATGTGCGACTTAAAGGTTAAAACATTTTTTTATTGTATGCATAACAGGATTGGTATTTTACAGCTTATCGGGCAACGGGTATGCATCCTCGATCATTCCGCTTGAGCATACAGGTAGCATTTCCCTCCCAGCTGGGGAATTGAGGACATCAAGCACAAACCAGCCTTCGGTTTAGGGCGGGTCCAGTGTTGCACACTCCCGTTTTTTTTTTGGGTTGCGTAGCAACCCTTTATATTTGGTTTCACATTTTGGGGATATCATTTCAACTGTGATTTTCCATGCACTCTTTGGAGCAACTGTTTGAACTTTCTGAAACTGTGTTCAAACGGATGCCTCAAAGAGTGAATAAAAACCACTCTTGAATGATATCCCTAAATGTGAAACCAAATACTATGCACGTGCGTATCATGTTGAAACCATGAACTTGTTTGACCGTCCCAGCATCGTCGATTAATACGGCGGATGGTACGGCCGAGCATAATATTCTGGCTTCAACATGATTGTACAGATGAACAACAAAATATGAAATGTGGGTGGATGCTACAAAGTGAATGTGTGAAACTAGGCAGCAGGGTGATACAAGTAGGAAACCCTAGCAATGTTGTACCCCCTAAGGCTAAACCCACTATAGCCTACACAATATGAACATGTATAATGTTTGACAATTACAACGTCTGAATGAACAACGAGGCCTAGGCATAATATAGCAAGGCTAGCTAGGCCGAGGTCGCGGGGTCGCGAGATGGTTGGGTGCAGGTTCGGGGTTGGGAAACCCGAAGGCGACGCGGTGGTGGCTCAGAAGGCGAGGTCGGCGGACCGAGCCTGGTTTTCCGAAAGTCGGGGTTGTACGCGTACAGTGTGACCCAGTAAGGAATCCGGAAAATTCCTTACACTACCCCCCCCCTTAAGAAAGGTGGTGAATATCCGAGACACCTCGGCGAGTCAGGTAAGCATCCACAACCGGATGTCCCAGTAGCGAATCAGCGGCGACATACGTGTCGTCCTCGCTCGTGCGCTCCTTCCAGCGAAGCAGGAATTTTACCGAGCGGCCGGCAGCAGTCACATCCACGCGATGGTTGAGAATCTTCCAAGGTTCCAGCGTGGGCTCTGCCACGGGGCGAGTGGTCGGCGCGAGGGTTGGCCGAGCAACAGCTGGCGACTGCGGCTGTTCGTAATGACGCAACAGGCTGACGTGGAAGGCGTCATGTATTTTCCAATCGTCGGGCAGCAGCAGCTTCGCGGTGACAGGTGTCACCATCTGGATGATCCGAAAAGGTCCCACGTAGCGGGGCCGTAATTTCGCGGGCTGCGGCAACCGAAGGTTCTTGGTGTCCAGAAGTACAACTTGCTCTGGGCGGAAGGGTAAATTCCGTCGGTGTTTATCCGCCTGGCGACTGGCCGTGGTATTAGCCTTGCGAATGAACTCGGCTGCTTTCGTTCGGGCGGTCTGCAGTTCTGTGACAAACTGCTGCGATCTTGGTACCGGGTTGTCCACAGTCGTTGAAGAGGGTACCACGGGGTCTATCCCGTAATTCAGGAAGAAGGGTGATTGTTTAGTCGTGGTCGATGGGGCGTTGTTGTACGCGAATTCTAGCATCGGCAGCGAATCTTCCCACTTGCGAATGTCGGGGCAGTTGGTGCGAATCAGCTGCTCCATGGTCTGATTTGTCCGTTCCGTCTGTCCGTCGGTTTGCGGGTGGTATGACGACGAGAACTGCACGCGGGTGCCGTACTGTGCCCACGTTTCCTGCCAGAACTTCGACGTAAATTTCGGATCACGATCGCTGATGATCGCCGAAGGTAACCCGTATAGGCGTACGACGGTGGAGATGAATAGTTTGGCTGTATCTTCGGCTGTGATCGTCGTTCGGCATGGGGCGAAATGCGCCATCTTCGTTAGGCGATCGACGACGACCAACACCGAGTCGTTACCACTCGTGCCAGCTGGGAGCCCCGTGACGAAATCCATCGTCACCTGTTGCCACGGTCGTTCGGGTGGCGCGAGGGGTTGCAGCAGTCCTGCTGGCCTTTGTAGCGACGACTTCATTGCTTGGCAGGTCGGGCAAGTTGACACGTAGCGCTGCACATCGGTCTGCATGTCCGGCCAGTAATAATTCCGCTGCAGCAGCTTCAATGTTTTGTCGGTGCCGAAATGCCCGGAAAGGTTGGAGTCGTGAACCTCCTGCGTCAGCAGCTCCCGTAAAGGCTGATATGCTGGTACCCAAATCCGGTTCGTACCGGCTTTTAGGTAGTATCTACCGTGCGGTGTAGCAGCCTGTTGTTGAGGGTTCCGAAAAAACCTGTCGATCTTGCAGCCGTGGGTAAATAGTCCGGTCAGCATCGGGTTGGTGTGGGCGATTAGTACCGCCGCGTTTTGCATGGATGGTCGGGTAAGGGCGTCGGCGATGTTGTTGGCGCCCTTTTTGTACGTGATGGTGTACCGGAAATTGGACTCGAGGAAGTCCAACCACCGGATTTGTCGCGGGTTGAGTGTCGGTTGCGTGCGCATGTACTGTAGCGATTTGTGGTCGGTCCGAATTGTCACGTCGGCTCCCGTGAGGTAGCAGCGCCAGACGCGAAATGCATGGACGATGGCCAGCATTTCTTTGTCGTGGACTGGGTAGTTGCGCTCGGGTGGCTGCATCTTGCGTGACTCGTAGGCGATGGGTTGCAGCCCTTGGCCGAAATCCTGTAGCAGGACGGCGCCGAAATCGCTGGCGTCCGTGACGACTTCGAACGGTCGAGATGGGTCGGCGAGGCGGAGTACCGGGGGTGAACCCAGAATGTTTTTGAGAGCGTCGAAGGCGGACTGCTCCCTCTCCCCCCACCGAAAATCACTGTCGTGATGCAGCAGGTCGGTCAGCGGCTTGGTTATCCCTGCCATATTAGGTTCAAAACGACGAACGTAGTTAACAAACCCCAGAAAACTCTGCAACTCAGGGATATTAGTAGGCGGCTTCCACTTGACGATGGCGTCCACTTTACGCGGGTCGATTTTGATCCCTTCGCCAGAAACCACATGCCCCAAAAATTCTAATTCCGGCTTCAGGAACTCGCACTTAGACCCCTTCGTAATTAGCCGATGCCCCTGTAAACGCCTGAACACCTCCTCTAAATCCCGCAAATGGTCCTCCTTTGTCGCGCTGTACACCAGGATGTCGTCCAGATACACGATGACTTTCTTGTCCAGCATGTCCCGAAAAATCCCGTTCATGGTGAGCTGGAACGTCGAGGGCGCGTTTGTCAGACCGAACGGCATCACCGTGAACTCGTAACTGCCGTAGCGTGTGCGAAAAGCGGTCTTCGGGCAGTCGTCGGCGAACACGCGAATTTGGTGGTAGCCCCCTCGCAGGTCGATTTTCGAGAAGTATCGAGCTCCGCGAAGTTGATCCAGCAGATCGTCGGTTCGCGGGATCGGGTAACGCGACTTTATCGTGACCCGGTTCAGCGCCCGATAATCAATGCACATACGTAGGCCCCCGTCCTTCTTCGGCGTGAACAGTATCGGCGCTGCATACGGCGACGTGCTTGGCCGGATAAATCCTTTGGCGAGCAGATAATCCAGCTGGGCCCGCAACTCGGCGAGCTCTGGTTGGCTGAGTCGCCACTGTGACCGAACAGTAGGTTGCGCTCCCGGTTCCAGCTGGATCCGATGATCCTCAGGCCGTTGGGGGGGCAAGCCATTCGGGAGGTCATCCGCGAAAATTTCGGGATACTTCCGAATAATGCTCGCCAATTCCTCGGGGACTGCCGCGCAGAGGGTGTCGATGTCCGCGATTTTCTCGGAAGCTGCTACCTCGTACAGATGCACCAAGAAGGCCTGAGCTCCGCTGTTCATCGCACGCTGCATGTTGACCGCGTTGACACGTGTCGTCACCGGCTCCGGCTCCGTCCATTTCGGAAGCGTCGTCTTTCCTCCGTATCCTCGCACGACGCACGCCCCAGTCGTCCAGTCGATCGTCGGATTGAATCGCTGCAGCCAATCCCCCCCCAGCAGCACATCACAGCCGTCCAACGTCGTCGCCAACATTCGCATGCCAAACCCGAATTTGTCGCCGCACTGTATCCGAATTTTTCGCGCCTCATCTCGGATTGCCAGCGCTGTCCCGTCCACCAACCTTGCATCGATCTCCGGCAGACACCTGGTCAGCTTTACCCCATTTTTTTTTGCCGTGGCCAGGTTGACGAGACTGTGGCTCGCCCCACCGTCCACGAAGATTTTTATTTTATAACCGTTAACCCTCCCCACCACCAGCACAGGGTAGTCCACGTGTTCACCCACGTTATTCGTCCCGGTTCTGGTCGATAGCTCTGATCGGTACCACGACCCGGTGTGGATGGTGATTGTCGGGCGACAGGGTCTCGTCAGTAGGTGGCCCGTCTGCTACTGACTCGTATCTTTTCCCGACCCTTCTCCGTCGTTCTTCTTCCCCTGCTTAAGCCTCGGGCAGTCTTTTTTCAGGTGGCCCAGCTGGTTGCATAAAAAGCACGGCCCAAGGGCTCGGCTAGGTGCATCCACGCCGTTGATCGTGGGCTGCTGAGTCGGTCCACGAAATCGAGGGCCCTCCCGGGAGCTCGATCTCGCCCACTGCATCAGCGCATCCGTTGACTCGGCTTCCCGGACGGCGTCGTTGAAGCTGCGTGGCCGGGTTCTTCGGACCTCGTACTGTATCTCGTATTTCAGGCCCGCCACGTAGCGATCCAACCGCTCCGCATCGCTCATGTCGTCCACCTGGTCCGCCAAGTTGCAAAATTTGCTGGTGTAGTCTTGGACTGAAGTCAGCTGCTTCCAGGTACGCAGCTGCATGCGAGCAGAATCCGAGGCGGATATGTGCTCGAATCTGGTTCGCAAGGCGGCGCCCTACTCCTTCCATGTGCGTATCGTGGCCGTCCCAAAAATCGATGCTGCCTGATGCGTGACAGGTGTTGAAGTCCCGTCGTTCGCACATGCTATTCCTGCCGAAGTCCCTTCGTGCTGTAGCGTTCGCCTCCACCACTCCAGCGCAGGTCCTCGCAACAGTGAAACTGCGAAATTAATGCGGGTGGCATCGTCATAAATCATGGCAGCATTGAAAAACACCTCCACGCCGAACAACCATGCAGAAACAGTGACGAACTTGTCACTCGGGTTAAACGGGGGCGGGTTTGTCGGCTTGATTTTCACAAAAGCCGTTGCCGCAATCGGGGCCGTTGGCATTGCTGCAGGTGTCGCCGTCGTCGTCGCTGCTGCACGTGGTGGTACTGCACGCGACTGTTGTGGTGACTGTTCCTGCTGCGCCTGCCTCGCTTCGTCCGCATCCATCTCGCCTTCCAGCTCGCTCCAGACCTGCTCATCTGGTGTAGTGCTGCTACTTGCGTCGTCCACGACAGGCGACTCCTGGCGCGCTTCACCACGCGCCTGGTGTAGTTCGGCGTTTTCCTTCCGTAGACGCTCCATCTCTGCAGTCATACCCTGCAAGTTGGCCTGCATCGCACGGAACTGTTGCATGAACTCGTTAAACTCGGCCTGCTCCATGTGCCTCAGGCTTCGTCGAACGGGCAGGGGGTGGCTCGCGATTTTTCTGACTTCGGTGAAGGCGTTAATGCTATCGTAGTCGGAGTGGAATAATCAGATCTATTCCACGGGCCGACCGCTTAACAGCCCACCAAGTCTATCGCTCCCCTTCTACAAACTACCCCGGAAACGCGAGGGTAACCTAGGACTTTAGGCTCTGATACCAAGTGTTATGAGTTGTATGAAAGAAGAGTGCGCAGAATGCAATATCGCGGAAGTGATTACAACGTCTGAATGAACAACGAGGCCTAGGCATAATATAGCAAGGCTAGCTAGGCCGAGGTCGCGGGGTCGCGAGATGGTTGGGTGCAGGTTCGGGGTTGGGAAACCCGAAGGCGACGCGGTGGTGGCTCGGAAGGCGAGGTCGGCGGACCGAGCCTGGTTTTCCGAAAGTCGGGGTTGTACGCGTACAGTGTGACCCAGTAAGGAATCCGGAAAATTCCTTACAATTCTGGTACGTTTGTAGTTCTGTTACATGCTCAAATGTGGTAACTGAGCTGAAAATTTACCGTACATGTGCAAAGTTGGACCCGCCCTTAGTAGCAATCATTAGAGGAGCATGATAGCTGCGAAGCGCGATAGCTACGAACTCCTAGATTCTTGCCTTTCCAATTATGCATGCGATGCATGGTGGTTGCGAACTCCTAGATTCTTGCTTTTCGAACTTTTACGTGCGATGCCAGTCTGTAAATGCTCGTGATTTGTCGCTCCCATCGACAATGCTTTCGCATAGCGCGAACTTGTCAGCTCACGCCAATGGAAATAAACGGATAGATCTTGCCCCAAGAAGGGACACCCGGGTGTTTGAAAGGCCGATTACGGTATGCACTCCAGGCGCACGCAAGTTTCTTCGCTCTTTGAGGTCCCCTCGAGCTCACCGCGCTCAGCAAAGCGAAGCCAGTTCCAGGCACAAAAAAAATCAAGCGTTTTCCGTTACGATGGCCTTCTCGAGATTGTATGCGCGTGTTCCTGGTGAATTCGGTTCTGCTGCTTACCGAAGGAGTTTCTGCAGATGGGCTGCAAAAGGCGAATCCTGGTTCCTCTTGATCAGTCTTGCGAACCGGATCCTCCTACTCATCAACCTCTTCTGCCGTATTAACCGGACTTAACAGGTTACTGCTCTGAATTCTGGTGCTATCATGAATGCGCGGGCCTATGTTTATGACAAGGATGGCCTGGTTGACTTCGAGGCTTCGTTCTCTGAAGAAGAAAAAACATGGCTCTACGTTCCTTACCATCTGCCTCCTCCCAAACCAATATTTTCTCTGCGCGAATCCGAGGCATGCTTGGAGCATGATTTTTGGCGGGACTACTCAGAAGAGGATCAGACATGGCTGTATGTTCCACCAGCATCGTCACCGCCCTATGCTCCCCAAACGCAGCGTCTTGAAGTTTCTGCTCGCATGGATAAGACCCACGACAGCAGCAGTAGCAGCAGCGGCGGCAGTGTACTGTCGGCTGTGAGCTCCACGTGTGAAAGCACTCCGACAAGAAGCAGTGCCAGCAGCGACCGGAGCACCAGCAATTCACAGGTTGTTCCAGGCAAGGTCGCTATGAGGGGGAGAGCAGACGCTCTAGAGATAAAGCTATCTACTCGCGTTGCTGAAAAGGCATCTCAAGGTCAAACCGCTGTTGCTTACAAAAAACTGTCTCGTCCAGAGAATGATGTGAGTTTGAAGGTGCCAGTGATTCAGAATTTCTTACCGCCACTCAGTGTTGTTCAGAGGTCTCCGCAGTCACATAATTCTGCCAGTCGGCCGGCGAACCCAGCTGCTGCTGATGGGAAACAAGTACAGCCATCCAATGCTGCTGAGAAATCGGGGAAGCTTGCGACTCAGCCAGTGAAGTCTGTTGGTGTCATGACGAAGATATCAACAGCAGCAGTTGATGCTTTTGTGAAGCCTGTGAAGCTACATGATTCTTTTTTGAAAACAGACAAGTCTGACAATGCTGTTAAGAAGCCAGGGAAGACACTGGCTGTTGCTGAGAAATCAGTTGAATCTGCTACTTCTCCCGACAGTCGTATGAAACAGATCCCTGCTGCTGACAAGTCGCCAGCTGTCATCTGTGATGGGTCCACGTCCAAGGGAGCACGTGGAAGGACCCTGAGTGTGCAAGCAGCAGCCAAGGCAACACTTGGGAGTGGAGTGGCAGTTACACCACCTGCATATGAAGAAGCTTTGAGACGTCTTGCAAGCAGTGCATCACGCATTCCAAGGCCTTCTAGCTCAAGACAGGCAGCAATGGTTCCCATGTCTGTGCCAGTGAAGGCCCATGCCACATCAGCAGCACATCTGGAGGAAGTTACTGCAAGGATCACACCACCACACGTTGCTGCAGAGGCACCTGTCCTGAGATTTGGATTTGGAAAATCGACGAAGGTGGCGTACCAGGAATGGCAATCTGCAGTTTCAAGGAAAAACGGGCATTTGTAGTTTCTCAAGGCTGGATCGGAAAGTTTGGTGCTTGGTCAGAATGTGGAGCATTGTTGAGAAGCATTTGATAGTGGTGTTATACTGCAGGATGACTGGTGTGCATAGCTGATAAATTCCAAACGAGTGTTGATGATGAGATGAGTCATGCACTTCTAGGGGATTTTCCCCCACTTGATGTAAGAATGCACTTGATAATTTGGTAGTACAGCTTTTCGTAAGCAAGCATGTAGCTCATGAAATACTGGTCTTGCAATCCAGGCAAGGCAGCTAAATTTTGCTGCAGCCTCATGCATGGAGGAAGGTGTGGATGGTTACCCACACTGCAGTCCAGTCAGTCGGCAAGGGAGCTCTAGTACCAATACGGTACGCTTCAGTCGAAAGAGGGGTGCTGGTGCACAGCACGGCCATGGTGGGGAGTAGCACACGATAACAGCATGCTCAACATGCTTTGCTAGCACTGTACACACATTGTATCCTCATGAAGCATCGATTGGCTAAAATTGGAATCCTAACCTGCAGATGTACTGCTCACATGCTTTCGCATCCATCACAGGCTGTGGCTACATGATGCACATGATAGCAACCAATCTTCTGGTATATAACCAGCTTCATTTGGTCTTTCTGTAAATCCTCCGTGAAAAACCTTCCTGCCTAATCAAAGCATGCCAGGTAACTGACTCTGCGCACACTGCCAGCTCGCACAAGCCCGCCAGCTCATATGGATGCCACACCACCTCAGCAAATCCCTGCCACCTCAGCAATGCGGGAAAACTCATCTATGTCAATTTCGCCGTTGCCTGAAGGGGGGTACAGAGAGAAATTGGGTGGGGGAACAGATAATTTGGAGGGGGGTTGACAGTGAGAAACCTGGAGATGGGAATCTGTGGACAGGTGCCAGCATGTGTGGATGGGTGCAATCATGTGTGCATGGGTGCAAGCATGCGTGGATGGGTGCAAGCATGTGTGCATGGGTGCAAGCATGCGTGGATGGGTGCAAGCATGCGTGGATGGGTGCAAGCATGCGTGGATGGGTGCAAGCATGCGTGGATGGGTGCAAGCATGTGTGGGCAGGTGCAAGCATGTGTGGATGGGTGCAAGTATGTGTGGATGGGTGTGAGCACGTGTGGCGCGTGCAAGCATATGCGTGTGTCCGGAATAGGAAGATCTAGGAGATGTGAGGATAAATTGATACCAGAACTGAAGGATTGATGCTCACAACATCTGCAGCTGCACTGTTCACAACATACCATCCGTAACTGCACTGTAGACTACAGAACACACCATCTGTATCTGTACCATCAGTGTGCGCAATGAGGATCAAAGCATCTGTGAACGTACTGTCCATAGCATACCATCCATGTCCGCACTGTAGTACATGTCAGTAATTGCTTTTTGGAGAAGTTATCATCCACGTCAGCACTGTAGAGCATACCATCCACTTCAGCACCCAGAACATACTATCCACGTCAGCACTGTAGACCATACCGTCCACGTCACCACTGTAGAACATACCATCCACGTCAGCACTGTACAACTCACCATCCACGTCAGCACTGTAGAACATGCCCCTGATCTCGTCGTCCGAAAAGACAATCCCAAGGTCCAGCACGCCCCTCTTCAGCGTGCGCTGCGATATCTTTCCCTGCACATCGATGGCACATCCATGGCATTCATGGGCACACAGTGTGAATAAGATACCATTCGTGTCGGCACATTCCCAATGCAATCCCGTTGTCCAGCACGCCTCTCTTCAATCATTCATGGTGCAAAACCTTTCCCTGCGTGTTCACGGGACATTCATGATGCATTTGAGGCACGCTCACGGAACAGTCCCCGCACATTCACAGCACATTCACGACACATTCACGACACATTCACGACACATTCACGACAGAGTCACGACACATTCATGACACATCCACGACAAATTCACGACACATTCATGACAGGTTCATGGCACATAAACAGTACACTCACAGCACAGCCCCCCCACATTCACAGGCGTATAACTACATGAGTATATGCAGTGTACTTACAGTTCGCTTATCAGAGAAGAGCTGGTACATGGCGATCAGGTCCTGCTGCATGTTCTGCTCGCCCATGTAACCGCTCATCACCGCAACGTACTCCTCAAAATCTATCGACCCGTCGCCGTTGCGATCCATGGTTGCAAAGATCTCCTCGAACTCCTGAGGGGGAGGGCGGGGAAGTTGGAGGAGTGGAGAGTGGTTGGAGAAAGGGGCAAAGGGGAGGCAGATCAGGGATCCATGGTTGCAAGGATCTCAAACTCCTGAGGGGGGGAGAGAGCAGGGCAGGTGGAAGTTTTGGGAAAACAGGGAGGCTGAAAAATCTATCAGGTGCCTCAAACATCGCCGTTGCGATTCATGGTTGCAAAGATCTCCTCAAACTCCTGCGGGGGAGAGAGGGGGAGCGGGAGGAGGCAGGTGTTTGTGGAAATAGAGAGGTTGGAGGAGTGGAGAGTGGTGGTGCGGAAAGTGGGTAAGGAAAGGGCGGAGAGGAGCAGCGATCCATGGGTGCAAAGATCTCCTCACACTCCTGAGGGGGGGAGAGGGGGAGGTGGCGAGTGGAACGACCAGGAAATTGGGAAGGTTGGATGGAGGAGAGGAGAGCGGTGGGGAAAAGAGGGGAACGGGTGAACAGGGGTGCATTCATGGCTGCACAGATCTCCTCAAGCTCCTGTGGAGGAGGGGGAAGCAGGGAGGGGAACAAGGGGGGTGGAAAGGCTGGAAACATGGGAAGGTTTGGTGGAGGAGTGGAAGTGGTGGGGAAGTGGAGAGTGGTGGGGAAGTGGAGAGTGGTGAGGAAGTGGAGAGTGGTGGGGAAGTGGAGAGTGGTGGGGAAGTGGAGAGTGGTGAGGAAGTGGAGAGTGGTGGGGAAGTGGAGAGTGGTGGGGAAGTGGAGAGTGGTGGGGAAGTGGAGAGTGGTGGGGAAGTGGAGAGTGGTGGGGAAGTGGAGAGTGGTGGGGAAGTGGAGAGTGGTGAGGAAGTGGAGAGTGGTGGGGAAGTTGAGAGTGGTGGGGAAGTGGAGAGTGGTGGGGAAGTGGAGAGTGGTGGGGAAGTGGAGAGTGGTGGGGAAGTGGAGAGTGGTGGGGAAGTGGAGAGTGGTGGGGAAGTGGAGAGTGGTGGGGAAGTGGAGAGTGGTGGGGAAGTGGAGAGTGGTGGGGAAGTGGAGAGTGGTGGGGAAGTGGGCAACGGGTGGGGCGAAGAGCAGGGATGCAATCACGGCTGCACAGAACAGATCTCCTCAAACTACGGCAGAGCAGAGGAGGGGATGGAAGAGGTGTGGCATGGCATGTGGGGAATGAGGGAGAGCTGGAAGAAGTGTGGCTTGTGGGGAGTGAGGGGGAGACGAGGGATCCACAGCTGCAAAGATCTCCTTAAACCGCTCTGGAGCAGAAGAGGCGGGAGGGGGGTCTGAATACAGGACGATGAGATCCCCCTCATCGTTCAGCTAGCAATATACTCCTCCAACTCCCACAAGCGAGGATGGAGGGGACGAGGAGGTGCTTGTGGAAATAGGGAGGTTTGAGGAGTGGAGAGTGGTGGGGGAAGGTGTGCGGGAGGTGCGGAAGGGGAGGGGAAAGAGCAGGAATCCATGGCTGAAAAGGTCTCCTCAAACTCCTGTGGAGCAAAAGGTTGGGCGAGGTTGGGGGAGGTTGGGGGAGGTTGGGGGAGTGGCGCATGGGAAGGGTGGGAAGACGAAGAGCACGGGGGTGGGGAGGTTGGGCGATTGGGTGGTTGGAGGGGTTGTGAGCCTGGGAGGTTGGGAGGTTGGGAGGTTGGGAGGGTTGAGAGGGTTGTTGGGAGGTTGGGAGGTTGAGAGGTTGCGGAAATGCCTCGTGGGGAGGGAGGAGGGGACAGGGAGAAAGAGATGAGCATCCCTTGGGTGCCAAATCTCCCCACAAACTGCTGAGAGAAGAGAGAAGGCCCACGGGGGGAAGGAAAGAAGGGGGGCAAGGGGAAGGGACTGGGGAGGGGGAAGGAAAGAGGCTTGGGGATGGAGGAAAAAAGGATAGAACGGGTTGGAAGGAAAGGGGCTGGGGGAAGAAAAGGGGCTGGGGGAAGGAAAGGGGTTGGGGGAAGGAAAGGGGCTGGGGGAAGGAAAGGGGCTGGGGGGAAGGCAAGGGGCTGGGGGGAAGGACAGGGGCTGGGGGAAGGAAAGGGGCTGGGGGAAGGAAAGGGGCTGGGGGGAAGGAAAGGGGCTGGGGGGAAGGAAAGGGGCTGGGGGGAAGGAAAGGGGCTGGGGGAAGGAAAGGGGCTGGGGGAAGGAAAGGGGCTGGGGGGAAGGACAGGGGCTGGGGGAAGGAAAGGGGCTGGGGGAAGGAAAGGGGCTGGGGGAAGGAAAGGGCTGGGGGGAAGGAAAGGGGCTGGGGGAAGGAAAGGGGCTGGGGGGAAGGAAAGGGGCTGGGGGGACGGACAGGGGCTGGGGGGAAGGAAAGGGGCTGGGGGAAGGAAAGGGGCTGGGGGGAAGGAAAGGGGCTGGGGGAAGGAAAGGGGCTGGGGGAAGGAAAGGGGCTGGGGGAAGGAAAGGGGCTGGGGGAAGGAAAGGGGCTGGGGGAAGGAAAGGGGCTGGGGGAAGGAAAGGGGCTGGGGGAAGGAAAGGGGCTGGGGGAAGGAAAGGGGCTGGGGGGAAGGAAAGGGGCTGGGGGAAGGAAAGGGGCTGGGGGGAAGGAAAGGGGCTGGGGGGAAGGAAAGGGGCTGGGGGAAGGAAAGGGGCTGGGGGGAGGGAAAGGGGCTGGGGGAAGGACAGGGGCTGGGGGGAAGGAAAGGGGCTGGGGAACCATGGCGATGAGAGACACAAAAAGTAACGCTCATGCGCACATGTCTACCATGCGCACATGTCTACCATGCCTGTCACACACAGCACATGCACGGGGGTGTGCTAGCAGCGCAGCATGGACGGAAAGAGCAAGCTGCTGCTATCTGAGACATGAGCACAAACGGGTGACTGAACATTGTGCTGCAGGGTTTGTTTGAGAATTCTAAAAAAAACCCTGCGACTGAACATTGCGAACATTGCGTGGAACAAACGAGGGACGGAGCACAGGCTGAAAGACTTGTGCGATGACTTCTGAGTCAACTCAACAGGGTGGTATATATTGAATGGTCGAGCAGACAAGCTGCTTCACCTTGTGCCATAAAATAGCGGTTATGTGCATTGGAGTGCTTTGAAACGTCTCAAAACACTTTTGACCGTGCCTCACCTCCTGACTGACCGTGCCTCACCTCCTGACTGACCGTGCCTCACCTCCTGACTGACCGTGCCTCACCTCCTGACTGACCATGTATCTAGAAACAAAGGTATAGCTTGCCTCACCTCCTGACTGACGTTGATGCCCAGCTGACTGCACAGGGAGCACAGAGGGAGTGAAGCGGGTTGGGAAAGCACACAGGAGCAGAGGGAGCAAGGATTGAGAGAGAGAATCTGAGGGGATTGGGGTGGAAAGGAGGGAGGAGAAGAGCCAAGGGGGGAGGGATGCACGGCATGGTGTGGACTGAGCGATGCTCAGGTGCCTATGAAGTGCACGGTATGATGCCCTGATTATCCGGGCGCATGTATTGCATTGGAGTTTTGATGAGTTGCTAAACCCGGATTACCAGGGCGCATGTGCCGCATTCAAGAGTTGACTTTTGAGTCGACTCATCAGTCAACTCATAACGGGGATTTTCAGGGTGCATGCGCCTCATTGGAAAGACATGACACAGCAAGAGCGTGTATAAGCAGGTCACATGAATGCGATGCGAGCGAGCGAGCAAGGTATTGGGGTCGTTAAACAACTCGCATTCACACAGTGGACTGCTATTAACGAGGACATGATATGCGGTGCATCCGATAGGAAGCTCTGACGTCATCATAAGGACTTCCGGATCCATCAAACGATTGCTGACGTCATGGCACTGTCCTCTTACCCCATGGCGAATTTCATCTCCATTTTGTCGATAGATCCTGCCAGTCAACGCCAGTCAACGCCAATCAATGACAGTCAATGCCAGTCAAACCATGCAATACCAGTCAACATCATTCAACATCAGTCAAAAGGCAGGCACGCAGGATACATGTAAACAATTTCAAGTTCTGGTGAGACATGACCACGCCTTCGACACATACCCCACACCACCTCATGAAACCAGAGACGGAAGTGAGATGCAATTGGTATACACGGCAGGGCAAGGCACGGGGCGGCACGGCATGGCATGGCAGGGCATGGCACGGCAGGGCATGGCATGTCACAGCACGGCACGGCACGGGACGGGATGGCATGGAATGGCCTCGCATGGCACAGCATGGCAGCGCACCGACTGGCAGCGCGCAAGATTCATCTGCAATTTGTCCTCCCACACCCCTCCATACCCCTCCATACCACTCTATGCACTTCTGTCGGCTATTGCCCACCCATACTGCTCCCCCCTGCCCCCCGCTGCCCCCTTTGCCCTGTTCCACGAACCTTCACTCTTCCTTTCCATAAGAAACAAACCTATTTTCCAGCATAACCACAAACCCGAAACCCGAAAAACATGTCCTAGAAGCAAGCTGGATTCGACTAGCTACAGACTTAAGGACCCCCACTCACCCGACTTGTCCGTATCGAACACGCTAAATATGTCCTCAATCTTCGCCATTTGCTGCGGAGTCAGTCCCCGCGCCGCGCCAGCAGGCGGAGCCGCTGCAGCCGCCGCCGCCGCCGCCGCCGCAGCTGCCGGCGCGGGCTGCGGAAGCACTCTGGTCCGCCCCGCGAACATCCTGGTGGGATTGGCACCCGCGAAGGAACCCCCCGCGAAGCTTCCCCCCACTCCCGCCGCGAAGCTTCCTACGCCAGCCCCTCCCGCTTGGAACTGCCGCGTCGATCCCGCGCCCGGCGGAAAGACCCGCGACGCGCCCGCGGCGCCTCCGCCGAAGACGCGGCTCTGCGCGCCGGCGGCCTGCGCTTGCGCGTGCGCGTGGCGCGTGCTGGCTTGCGCCATGATGGACGTGAACTGCCGGCTGAACTGCTGCGCCGCTGCGCGGGAGCTTGCGCCCGGCGGCGCAGCTCCGCCGATCGCGCCTCCGCGCAGAGGCGCGGGTCCGCGCGGGGCTGACCCCGAAGGTCCCGCTGCCGCGTGTGGCGCCGGCGGAGGCTGGTTAGACCTGTTGGGCTCCCAGCCGCTGTTTCCGCTCGCCATGGCGGCGCTTGTGGGGTCCTCGAGTGCGTGTGGTGCGCGTGTGGCGTGCGCGTGGCGTGTGTGTGGGGTGCGCGTGGCGTGCGCGAGGCGTGGGTGTGCGTGTAGTGTGCGTGCGGGAACCTTGTCTGCGTGTACGTGTCTTAGCAACAGTGGCGATACAAGGTTTTAACGGGCACCTAAAGGCTGCGACTCGAAGCGTATGAACGAGCAAATGCGCGAGATTTCTGAGAATGAGCACTTGCGTCCGTGTTCGGGTCTATGTGCACAAACAGCCTGTATGCTGTGCGAGTAATGAAAGTGACGCGGGACCACGATACTGATTTTTTAGTCAACTTATAGCTTATGATGGTAATGACAGCTGGGTGCACCGAGAGAGTACGGATGCAAGCCAGAGGACGAGAGGAACGGGAGAACGAGCGGTGCCGGCCAATGTCAGGGAAGGAACGAACGAGTGGCGCAAGTCAGAGGACGAGGACGGGAACGGGCGAACGAGCCGTGTCGGCCAACCAACCAAGTCGTGTCGTGTCGCGTACTAACTACGCCGTGTGAGGAGTACTACGAGATTCACCGCTCCGACTTCGGTCAGACTTACTATTGGAAGCAGCGAAGCGCGCCGACAACAACAACAACAGAGACCCCGGAAAGCCTACATATAACTCCTGTGTGGTTCTTCTCACTGGACTAAGCCCACAGATTCAAGACTCGCGAATTCGAAATGAGTAGCGCTGAGGAAGCCTTCAAGAAACCTCAGTTGGCACAGATGGGTTGCTGGAAAAGGGCAGTGCGGCAACTCCAGAGGCTAGCACAAGAAACGAGGCTTCGGACTTGCCGTGTGCAGCGGGGCTTTTGGCGGGAAAGCAGGAGCTGGAAGCACGGGGGAACGCGTCAAGTCAAGAAAGCACAAATAATTCCGCGGTAAGGGGTAGATAATGAAATCCTCGATACTAGCAGATACTTATGGCCTTTTCAATCTGTACAAAGCTTGATAGCATACACATCCATAACGATGGAAACCGCTACACATTGCTATCCACACCAATGGTTCCACGCTTACAATGCACAGGCCGATATCCTTGATCACAAAAAAAAGGAGTAATAGTTTTTACATGTTGCTCGTTTCTTTCTTCATCAGACAGGCATGTCTGCCTCTGCTGCTGGCTGGGTGGAATCTAGGTTAGGCTGTGAGGGGAGGGAAGAAGACGACTGAAGAGGCAGGGAAAACGAGGGGAGGGGAGGGAAGGAGACGACATGAGAGGGAGGGGGATCGAGGGGAAAGACGGAATGGGATGATGGGATGGGAAAGAGGGAGTCGGATGATGGGATAGGAAAGGAGGAAATGGAAGATGGGATGGGGAAGAGAGGAGATAGTGGGACAAGAAAGAGGGAAAGGGATGATGGGATGGGAAAGACGGAAGGGGGTGATAGGAGGGGAAGAGGGAGGGGGTGATGGGAGGGGAAGAGGGAAGGGGGTGATGGGAGGGGAAGAGGGAAGGGGGTGATGGAAAGGGAAAGGGGAAGGGGATGATGGGACTAGGAAGAAGGAAGGGGATGATGGGACTGGATGGGACGGCAAAAGAGGGAAGACTGAGGAATGCTGAGGAGGGATGGAAATGGGGCAGGGAGGGAGTAAAAAAACAGTGGTTGCAGCAAGAGAGGGGGGACTCCAGCAAGAGTGAGCGATGGAAGGACAGAGCATCAAGAAGTGAGAAAGAAAGAGTGAAGAGAGTGATGGAAAGTGCAGCACCCCACCCGCGCAGCACCCCACCCGCGCAGCACCCCACCCGCGCAGCATCCCACCCGCGTAGCTCCCCACCCGCGCAGCACCCCACCCGCGCAGCATCCCACCGCGCAGCACCCCACCGCGCAGCACCTCATCCGCGCAGCACCCCACCGCGCAGCACCTCATCCGCGCAACACCCCACCGCGCAGCAGCTCACCCGCGTAGCACCGTACCGCGCAGAAACCCACCCGCGCAGCACCCCACTCGCACAGCACCCCGGGCGGTGCAAGCAGACTCGGAGCGTACCTGCGAATCTTCGTCGCCAGTCACTTTTTCGCCTTTCCCGCCTTTTTTGACCCGCGAGCTTTCAGCATCTCCTGGATCGTCGATGTAGACTCCGCCGGCCGCGGCTCGAGCCACGTCAGCGGATGCCGGCGGAAAGCGGGCCAATCGGGAACCACCACGAGGCACGCGAGCAACGTGGCGCCTAAGTGAATATACATCATGAGAGAGAAGGAGGAATAGAAGAATCCGGCACCGAAAGCTATGGCGGCACCGGCGAGGAGAATAATCTGCATCAGATACTCCGCGAGGCGCTGGCCCTGCCAATCCATGGCGGCTGTGGCGATGCGGATTGCGATGATGTGGATTGCGGCGATGCGGATTGCGGCGATGCGGACTACGGCGACGCGGGTTGCGGCGATGCGATCAATGAGCGCGGGTTCGGCGGGTGCGACGATACGGATTGCGAGGCGAATGCGAAGGCGAAATCTCCAGATTTTTTTCGCGATAAACTAAGCAGAGTTTGGGTTGCAGTGGCGAGATCGAGTCAGATTTGCTTAGACACGGGGTAAAACGTAAGTATCCTGGATTATGCTTGACCAGCTAACGGATTGGAATGGAGTGAAAAAACTGAAGCTAGTTGGCCTTCGTGTCCGTGTTTGACGCTTCCCCTTGCTGGTACTTCGGGTGTCATAGAAGCTGAACCAATCCCAAGGCGAGGGAGGGACCAGTTTAGCGCTCGTTCGTGCTTGCTGGTAGTCAAACTTGGGGTCAGAAAGGTGACAAAAAAATGGGGTAAGTAGCTTTGGCAGGGGTACTTGTTACGAGTGCAATTGAGTGAACGAACGAGAATTGCACTATCGAAGCAAGAGTACAATGAGCGAAGGAATGAGCGAAGAATATATAGCGAAACTACAGTGGTAACGGTAATGGACTGTGGTTGTCGCGCGACGGGCCTGTGACTGAGGTTGGGAAAAGTGTCGAAGCGGAGGCCCGGAGCGCGGGTTACCCGCCGAGCCGTGAGGTCGGGGTGCGACGTGTGAAGGTGGCGGGCGGATTGTCGATGCGAGGATTGCGAGTGGTAACGGTGCTGACTGTGGTGCTACAGTGGTGTACGCGTTGAGCAGGGATGCGAAGTAAGGAAAAAGAGATTTTCCTTACACTACCCCCCCCCCCCTAAGGAGGTCCTCCTTACGAAAGTGCGTGTACATCCCTGAAGTTTCGGCTGCGCAGATACTCGGTGAGGACGGGGTGGTTTTCGATTCTGTCCAGGGGAACCCAATTATCTTCGGTGGGTGTACGGTCTTTCCAGCGAATCAGGAATTCGATCCTTCGGGCTCCTCGAGGGTCACGAACTCGGTGGCTTAGGATTTTTTCGGGGGTGATGATTGGTTCAGTTGGCGGTCGTGTCATGCTGGCTGGGCGATTGCGTGGCAGTTGGCTCGTGGACGGGACGTAAGGGCGAAGCAGGCTGACATGGAATGAGGGGCTGACGTACCAGTCAGCAGGGAGGAGGAGGTGGGCGGTGACAGGTGTGAGCATGTGGCTTATGCGAAATGGCCCGCAGTACCGGGGGCGGAGTTTCGGTGTGATGGGCAGTCGGAGATTCTGGGTGTCGAGCAAAACTAAGTCGTCGGGCTGGTAAGTGACAGGTCTGCGGTGGCGGTCGGCGTTACGTTTAGCGATGATGTTAGCTTTTTTAATTGCATCTGCTGCCCTAGTCCGTGCTTCTTGCAAAACTTCGACGAATTGTTGCGCGCGTGGAACCGGGTTGTCGGGATTCGGGGTCATGAGTACTGTTGGGTCTTGTCCGTAGTTCAGGTAAAATGGTGACTGTTGGGTCGTGGCGGATGGGGCGTTGTTGTATGCGAATTCGATGAGTGGCAGCTGCTGTTCCCACGTGTTCGGGTCGTCGCACGTGGCCCGGATGAGCTGTTCCATGGTCTGGTTTGTTCGTTCTGTCTGTCCATCTGTTTCGGGGTGGTATGATGAACTCAATTGTAGTCGCGTGCCGAACTGCTGCCACAGGTTCCGCCAGAAGTTGCTGGTGAATTTCGTGTCTCTGTCGCTGATGATTGATGCTGGTATCCCGTGCAGTCGGACGACGGTGGAGATGAAGAGGCGAGCTGTTTCTTCGGCTGTGATTGATTTTTTGCATGCTGCGAAGTGTGCCATTTTCGTCAGTCGATCGACGACGACCAGGATCGCGTCATTTCCACTCGCCCCGGCCGGTAATCCCGTGACGAAGTCCATCGTCACCTGCTGCCAAGCGCGCTCTGGGGGTGGGATCGGCTGCAACTGTCCCGCCGGCCGCTTCCGTGATGACTTCATGATCTGGCAAGTGGGACACGATGCCACGTGTCGCTGCACGTCGGTCAACATTTCGGGCCAGTAATAATACCGCTGCAGCTGCTGCCGTGTTTTCTCTACCCCGAAATGTCCCGAGGTAACCCCGTCGTGTGCCTCCTGTAATAGTAGTTCCCGTAGCAGTGTGTACCCTGGTACCCAGATGCGGTCGGTCCCGGCTTTTACGTAATAGACTCCCTTGGCTGCTGCGAACTGCTGCGAATTTCCTCCTGTGAAGAATGGGTCTGTTTGATATCCGTGGGTAAATAGTCCTGTCAATAGCGGGCTGGTCTGGGCGAGTAGTATCGCGTGGATTTGGGCAGTGGGGCGGGTCAGTGCGTCGGCGATGTTCGAGGCTCCTTTTTTATAGGTGACCGTGTAGTGGAAATTTGACTCGAGGAAATCGAGCCAACGAATCTGTCGTGGGTTGAGGTGGGGCTGTGCGCGGAGGTACTGTAGTGATCGGTGGTCTGTCCGTACTGTCACGTCTGCGCCGGTCAAGTAGCAGCGCCACACTTTGAACGCATGCACGATCGCGAGCATTTCGCGGTCGTGTATCGGGTAATTTCGCTCGGGCGGGTGCAGTTTTCGTGACTCGTATGCGATGGGCTGTAGACCGTTGCCGAAGTCTTGTAGCAGTACGGCTCCAATGGCGATGTCGCTTGCGTCTGTAACAACCTCGAAAGGGCGGTGTGGGTTGGCGATGCGCAAGACGGGCGGTGAACAGAGAACATTTTTCAGGGCAGAGAAGGCAGCCTGCTCTTTCTCCCCCCACGTAAAAGCGACCCCCTGGCGCAGTAAATCAGTCAGCGGGGCAGTCAACTGTGCCATGTCGGGGACGAACCGACGCACATAATTTACGAACCCCAAAAAACTCTGCAGCTCCGTGATGTTGGTCGGGGGACGCCACGCTTTTACCGTATCCAGCTTCGAACTCACGCAAGGGGTCGATTTCAACTCCAGCCTCCGAAATAACGTGCCCAAAAAATTCTAACCTATCCTGGAAGAACTCGCACTTGGAACCCTTGGTTAGTAGGCGGTGCTCGTCTAAAACTTTAAAAACCGCTTCCAGATCCGCTAAGTGCTGCTGCTTGTCCCGACTGTGTCAGAACATTATAGCTTATGCTGTTGTGTAGGCTATAGTGGGGTATCCCATAGGGGGTACAACCAATTAGGGTTTCATATTTGTACTCACTTCATTTCATAGTTCATCCATTCTTGTTCAAATCTTCTCATGGTATCGAGCAGGTTCCCCCTTGGGAACTGTGCTTAGGGCCCACCACATCGATTTTTTTTTCCTGCCCGAAGCGCGCTCAGCCCGAGTCGCACTCCGGGCCCTCACTTCGTCGAGCCGCCCTAGCGGCCCTGCACTGCGGCCCCGCCACCCGTCTCCGCAGCCCCGCCGCCCGTCTTCGCGGCCCCGCCGCCTCTCTCCTAGCGGCCCCGCCGCCCTACCTAGCGGCCCCGCCGCCCTACCTCGCGGCCTCGCCGCCCCATTGCGCGGCCCCGCCGCCCTACCTAGCGGCCCCGCCGCCCCATCGCGGCCTCGCCGCCCCATCGCGCGGCCCCGCCGCCCTACCTAGCGGCCCCGCCGCCCTACCTAGCGGCCCCGCTGCCCCATCGCGCGGCCCCGCCGCCCCATCGCGCGGCCCCGCCGCCCCATCGCGCGGCCCCGCCGCCCTTCCTCGCGGCCCCGCCGCCCCATCGCGCGGCCCCGCCGCCCTACCTAGCGGCCCCGCCGCCCTTCCTCGCGGCCCCGCCGCCCTTCCTCGCGGCCCCGCCACCTTACCTGCGGCCCCGCCACCTTACCTGCGGCCCCGCCACCTTACCTGCGGCCCCGCCGCCCTCTGCTGCGGCCCCGCCACCCTATCTGCGGCCCCGCCACCCTACCCGCGGCCACGCCGCCCTTACCAGCGGCCCCGCCGCCCTTACCTGCGGCCCCGTCACCTGCTGCCCAGCCGTGCCGCCCTGCAGCAGCACAGCCGAGCCGCCCAGCAGCCGAGCCGCCGAGCCGCCCAGCAGCCGAGCCGCCCAGCAGCCGAGCCGCCGAGCCGCCCAGCAGCCGAGCTGCCCAGCAGCCGAGCCGCCCAGCAGCCGAGCCGCCCAGCGGCCGCGCCGCCCAGCAGCCGAGCCGCCCAGCAGCGGAGCCGCCGAGCCGCCGGGCCGCCCAGCAGCTGAGCCGCCGAGCCGCCGCGCCGCCCTCCTTCAGGGCCGCCCGACCTGCCCAGTCTGGTGAGCACAGCGCCTTTTCACTGCACTGTCCTCACCCTACTGTTTGCGCTGCTAGTCGTCTAGGGTCATGGCTACCCCTAGTGTTCTCGCCTTTGACGCTGAGGGTAGGGCCATTGACTTTGAGGTCTGGGTAGATGACCTGCAGCTGTTCTTACAGTGCGATAGGGCAGACGGCCTCTCTCTCTTTGACCTCACCTCTGGCACCTCCACTGCCCCTGCTGCTGATGCTGACGCCACTGTTCGCTCCCAGTGGGCCACGCGCGACGCTGCTGCACGTCTTGCTGTGCGTCGCCACCTCCCTACCTCCGAGCGTGCGCACTTTAGTCAGTACAAGAGTGCTCAGACCTTGTACGACGCTGTAGTTGCGCGCTACTCCTCCCCTGCCACTGCTGCACTGAGCCGTCTCATGCTACCGTACCTCTTTCCTGATCTTGCTGCCTTTCCCACAGTCACTGACCTCATTACGCACCTCCGCACTAGTGACACTCGCTACCGCGCTGCACTCCCTCCTGACTTCTGCGCCAGGAACCCCCCCCCCATGTACATCACTCTTTACTACATAGTCACTCGCCTTCCTGACTCCCTTCGCGTAGTCAGGGACCACTTTCTCTCTGTCTGTCCCACCACTCTCACTGTTGACCTCCTCGAGAAGTCCCTCCTAGCGGCCGAGAAGAGCATAGTCGCTGTAGGGGCCTCTCGTGGTGACCCGCGCACCCCCATCTTTGAGGGGTGTTCCCCCTCCCCCCTTCTGCCC